GTTTTGAAAATTTGTAAAAGTGATTTTGCATGGTAGGCTAGTGACATAACGGGAATTAATCCAATGGTAATGAGCCATAAGCTCAGTATTGACCCCAATAGTAAACCTATAAAACAAAAAAAACAAATCATGCACTCGAATGGTAAAAAATAATAGTTGTAGAGGTGGATAAACTAATTAAAGCAGGATCTGTTCAGGAAGTTTTATATCCCACTTGGCTTGCTAATGTTGTTCTTGTTCCTAAACCAAATGGCAAGTGGTGATTATGTGTGGATTTTATAGATTTGAATAAGGCATGCCCTAAAGACTTATATCCTGTCCCGAACGTTAACCAAACAACTGGATATGAGATGTATAGTTTTATGGATGCAGTTGTAGGATACCATCAAATTGAGATGAGCAAAGAAGATGAAGAGAAAAAAGCCTTTATAACAGGTAGAGGCACTTATTGTTATAGAGTCATGCCATTCGGTCTATAAAATGTTGGAGCAACATATCAAAGATTTGTAAACAAAATGTTCAAAGATTTGATTGGAAATTTAGTTGAGGTATATGTCAACGATATGATAGTCAAAAGCAAAAAGGCCAAGCATCATGCATCCGACTTAGGACGAGCACTCGACATATTGCACACGTATGGAATGAAATTAAATCCTGACTAATTTATTTTTGGTGTCACTGCAGGAACATTCTTGGGGTTCATGATATCTCAAAGAGGAATTGAGGAAAATCCTCAGAAAATAAAAGAAGTACTGGACATGCAACCTCCAAAAACAATCAATGATGTTCAGAAACTAAATGGAGAGATTACAGCTTTGGGGCAATCTGTATCTTGCTCGGCCAAAAGATATCTTCCATTCTACAAAACCATAAAAAATATAAAAGATTTTGAAAGGACAAATGAACGTCAGAAAGCGTTTGAAGAGTTAAAGGCATTTCTTTCTTCACCACCACTCCTTAACAAGCCAAAGACAGACGAGGCCTTGTATTTGTAACTCTCAGTAGTAGAAGAGGCAGTAGCTTCGATTTTGATTAGAGAAGAAGGCACCGAGCAATTTCCAATCTATTACGTAAGTAAAGTGCTAAGGGGAGCAGAGGTAAGGTATTCTTATCTAGAAAAATTGGCATACACTGTGTTAATAACTTCCACAAAGTTAAGACATTACTTTCAGGCACACACAATTTTCATTCAGACTAATTATCCCTTGAAAAAAATATTGCATAGAATTGAAACTTCAGGACAAATAGTAGAGTGGTCTATACGACTTGGGGAATTCGACATTCAATATGTGCCCCGAACAACCCTAAAAGCACAAGCACTCTCGGACTTTATCCTAGAATTAACAGGGAGCCCAGCAAAAGAACAACAACAAGTCAAACAGAAATGGTGTTGGCAATTGTTTACAGACAGAGCAGCAAATCAAGCAGGAGCAAGAGTAGGAATCATATTGCAAGGGCCTAACAAAATCAAATTTCAGTATGCTGTGCAACTGAACTTTGAAGTGACCAACAATGTCGCTGAGTATGAAGCATTAATAGAATGCATCAAGTTACCACAAGAGGTAAGGCTTGAACAATTATCAATTTATTCTAACTCACAATTAGTGGTCAATCAGTTGACAAGGAAGTTCGAGGTCAAAGAGCCAATTCTTGTAAAGTATAAAGCCTTTGCAATTCAATTGTTATCACAATTAGAAGACAAGGAAATACATCAAATATCCTGAGCAAAACATATTAAGGCAGATAATTTTGTGAAAATGGCAACATCAAAGATCGAATGGGTGAACAACACAATACCACTAGAAATCCAAATGCAAGCGAGCATTGATCAAGAATGCACTTTTATGGTGGGACAACTACAAGGATGGATGAAGCTAATTATGGAATATTTGGATCACAGCATCCTTCCTGCAGAAAAAAAAGAAGCAATTAAAATCTCAAAGAAGGCAGTTAATTATGCTTAAGAGCATTCAATGTTATATAGGAGATCTAAAGCCGATCCATGGGCAAAATGCATAAATGAAGAGGAAGTCGAATATACTGTCAAAGAAGTACACGAGGGACTATATGGAGCACATGAAGGAGCTAACACACTTATCAGAAAAATTACATTTCTTGGGTATTAGTGGCCAACCATGAAGAAGGATGTGAAAAATAAAGTCAGAACATGCCAACAATGCCAGAAATATAATAGAGTACCTCTGTAACCTGCGACTGAACTACAACCTTGAGGCAGAGCATGGCCATTTGCATAATGGGAAATTGACATCATGGCTCCATTCCTTAGGACAATTGGGTAGAAAAAATTTATGGTTGTAGAGGTAGTGGATCGCTTTACAAAATGGGTAGAGGCAAGGTCATTGTCCATAATAACACTAAGAAAAATAATATATTTCTTTCAAAATAATATAATCTTTTGTTATGGAGTACCAAACAATATAGTCACGAACAATGGAAAGCAGTTCGACTCATAACATTTCCGCAGCTTTTGCTCTAATTGGAAGATCAAGCTACACTTCACATTAGTAGCTCACCCATAAATGAATGGGTTAATAGAAGTTATTAATCAAATTATTTTGTAGGGACTAAAGAAGAGATTAGATGAAGAAAAGGCAAATTGGGTGAGTGAATTAAAGAACATGCTATGGTCATACCGAACAACTCCAAGAAAGTCTACAAGAGAAACCCCTTTTTCTCTAGTCTATGGAATAGAATCTGTTGTCCTAGTAGAAATTAGAGCACCTAGTGTAAGAACTATACATCACAACACAACGAAAAATGATGAACAAATGAGAATTGTATTGGACCACTGGAAGAACGAAGAGATCAAGCAAATATCCGAGCTGAAGCATACAAAATGCAGATGATGAAATTTTACAATAAAAGAGTGAAAGCTAGAAACTTATGAGTGGGAGACTTAGTTCTTAAAAAAATAGAGATTACAGGAGGAACTGTTGGAGTGAGCAAACTAGTACCGAACTGGAAAGGTCCCTATGAAGTGATACAAAAATAGGTCCGAGCACCTACAAAATAAAAATTATAAATGGAAAAGAATTGCCCTGAACATGGAACGCAGAAAATTTGCGAAAATACATTATATGAACAAGAGGAATTAGAGGAAGAACAGGTTTTTTCACCTAAGTGTTAGGATCTTAGGAAATTAGGTGTAAGAAGGGTAGCTCGGGGAAGCTAAAGGAATAGAATGATCCTAACAAATAGGTTTTTCCTGACTTTTCCTGAAGAAATAAAAGAAAATTTATCATATGATTTTCTCATTCTCCATTTAGAAAAGATATAAAAAATACAGAGCAAAATAGCAAAATGCTTTATAGATAATGCGCATAATAACAAATCGTGAGCCTAAGAAAGCTCAATACTTAAGGGCCAAACGAGAAGAATTCTTCATTCAAATAAAATATGTACATCCAAAACAAAAAAAAAAATCCTCAATTAAAAGGATCATTACAATTAGTTGGATCATCTACTTAATCTTGAACAACTTGTTCTTTAATCTACTCAGAAGGAAGATCTTCGAAAGTAACAACGATGGAAATATTAGAAATAAAATTAAAATCATCATTAGGAAATGACTCGGTCTTGAAAACCATCAAGTGAATTTATTATATTGTTCATAGCATCATCTACCTCCTTCTAAGCAAGTGCCAAGTCATTGTTCAGCTGATTGCACTGAGCCTTCAACTCACCCTTTTCTTGCTCAATAGATATTTTGGCTTACTCTAGCTCGGTCTTTTCCTTCTCCAATTGAATATTTCTCGAGCTAGTGATTAATGTCTCATCTGTCACCTTCTTGTACTCATCATTAATGCTGTTTCAAAGCGCGCATCTCTTTACTATGAGTTGTAGCACTTTTTTCCATCATTTCCGTAGCAGTTTCTACCACCTGGATAGCCTCATTCTTGGATACTTCAGTGATTGCGAAGATCATGAACTCTCTTCCTCATAACAGCAACTTGATGAACAAGCTGGTTACGCCAAAAGAAAAGTGAATAGCAAGAAAAGCATTAATATGATATAAAAAAGGGAGAATTATAATTTTATCCATGTAGTTTACCACAAATTACTGATTTATCATTGCATTTTAAAAATTAAACGCGATATCCCTAATGTTTTTCCCGTTATATAATTTTGTCCTTCCATTCATTTTATCTAATTTTAACTATTAAAAATAGTGGAAAAGATGGTAGTGGCCCTCATTACAATTGATTACCCTCATTAAATGTTAATTGAAAGTTCCAGTTTCCTTTTTAAAGTCTACCTCAATCCAGAATACACCAAAAGTCTTATACTTTCTCGCCTTCAATGGCTTTTTGCATTTCATCCATCAAGATCTCATTTCGTTTGGATCCTCTAAATCGACTTTTCCACAACATGGGTTCTGTTTGCAATTGCTATATATATATATATATATATTTTTTGGGTTTCTATCAAAAAACTTGTTCTTTAGCTGTTTATGTAAGAGCGGCCATGGAGAAAACTGTATACGCTGTCAAGCTATGTTTTAATTGAGATTTTTTTGTAAGTTTCAAAAGTTGGGTATTGTTTGAAATGTTCCGATTGAGGAAAATTTTACTGTTTTAAATTGCAGCAGAGATTGAAAGATTAATTTTTACAATTTATTTCTGGACTGATTTCAGGTATTAAGCTTCAACTGGTACAAAACATATATGATTTAGAAGTTGATTATTATTGTTTCTGCGATTCTAATTGTATTACTTCTTTATTCACCTTTTTTTTTCCTTGCGGCTTGCTTTTATTGTGCGTGTGAGAGAGAATTTATTCTCGACAAAAACTCTTAAGGGTGTTTTGGGGACATTTTATATTCTCTCTCATCTGACTGGGGCTTTCTTCTTTGACTTGCACTAAAAAATAGATAAAACTGGACGGAAGGACATAATCATGTAACGGATCAAACACTAAGGATATCATAACATATTTTTCAAAATGCAAGGACACATTAATAATTTATGGCAAATTACAGGGACAAAATTATAAGTTTCCCTATAAAAAATAATAATATTATAATACTTACAAAGAAAAGGCTACAATTCATGCTATCGAAAATAGTGCTCTCCTCCATGGAGTCTGCATAATTCCAGCCTTGTGAAAGGAGTGACAACCAAGTTAAGTCCCTACTTACTGGACTCTGAGAACAGGATGCAGAAGCTCCATGAACAACTTTGATATATCTTTCTACATCTGGTTGAGCTGACTCTGGCTGAGCAACCTCTTCGATAAAATTTGTTCGAGATCTTTTCCTCTTTCTAGTCAGGGGAACGTCATCTTAAGCAGAGAGATGAACAATTTCAACTTCTGAAGGAGGTGCAAGCAGCATCATCAAGATTTGTTCCTGATTCAGGAAGTTTTGGATGCTCCAAAGTGACCGAATCAGCAAGAGGAGCAATAGGGGGTGTAGCTTTGCTAGGAGGTGGAGGTGTTTCAATATTTTCCTCCTCCTCATCTCTTAGCACAAGTCCACCTCCTTTCTTCTTGACCTGAGCAAAAGCTTTGATCTCCCTTTTCTTCCTTCTCTTTTACTCAAGCTTTTTAGCAAAATCTCTGCCAACCATATTTATCGAACAAAGTAAAATGTTAAAAGTCAATTCAGGATAGCACAGACAAAGAGCCAATTATATACCTTTTTGATTTTTTTCTTCTTTGACGTTTTTCCGAGCAAGTTGAGGCGTATTCCAATGCAAGTAAATCTAGAAGATGGAGGAGATTATAGGCATGTTTAGCAAGAGTATCTATAATTGCTTTCTCCCCATTAGTTCATATATAACCTATCTTCCCGAAAAATTGGCACAGTTCGGGACCAATAGGTGTTCACCCCAAAATCTTTCGAACTTTTCACTATAAAAAATTTTTCTTTCCATCTCCATTTTATAGACCCGGGCATCCCCTCAAAACACTAAGACCGCCTCGAGCAAAGGGATGAGAATAATCTTCTTTTTCACGACTCATTAAGGAATATAACCCATTAATTACATATGGAGAAAATTCCAGATTAGCTTGGCGAGCTAAGATGCTCAACCTAAGCACAATCTTGATGCTATTTGGGGCGAGCTATGACACCGTGATACCGAGCTGATTAAGGTAGTCACATAAATCTAATTGGAGAGGAAGGCGAACACCAGCTCTCAGATCTTCCTCATACAGAATAAGAAAATTGGGACTTTGTTTGGAGTTTGTCCGAACATTTCCACCCATGGGAAGTAACTCAAATTTGTCAAGAACAAGACTATTTTACTTTAAGTCTTTCCATGTCATCTTCCCCTAAATAATGAACTTAAATTTGACACCCTATTCTCTATTCTTGTGCTAGTTTTCTTCCTTTTTGCACCCTCTTGGGCTTTTGTCTAAACAAAAGGTTGCAAGTTCTATTCAATCGAGGAGGAGTATTCCTATCCCTAATAACAATACTGTAAGCTTGGATTTACCAGGTGAAATCCCAGAAGCTTGGTCCACCGCTCCCATAGCAGCGAAGAGACGGCTAGAGGGAAAACCACTTGATTTGGTGGTCTCAGAGCTTGAAGAAGAAGAAGAAGAAGCTTCAATGGCAATAGCATTGCCTTTTTCAGGAAGGGGAGTACTAGAACTCATAATGTTGTGAAAGCGAAAAAGCAAAAGAGCAAACGAGAAGAAAAGGAGAAAAGGCAAAATTAGAAAGAGAAAAAGTTACCTCTTAGGAAATCTTATGGAAAATTGTAAAAGAAAATGAAAATGGTAGTAATATAAATTCAAAATCAATAGAGAGCACTTCCATGTTCAATTTATAATCAAGAGAGGGAACTAGAAGAGATGCCAAGAGAAAATGGAATGTCAACAGGCGCAAAACTAAAATGGAAAATGCACCACTTAATGATGAATTAAAGAAGCGCATCATTTCAAGAGCTTTGATAATGCCAAAGGTCACATCTATTAAAGACAAGGCATGAACTAATAATGATCTGACATTTAGGGCTTACATGGATGAACAACATAAATAGGTGTTCGAAAATAGCTTGAAGTGTTGGAATGAGCATTGAAATGACCGAACATAAATGATTCGTGCTATTTTGGAGGGACTTTTGATAGGAACAAATTATTAATTTGTAACGAGCAAGTCTAAGAACCGAGCGACATAAGTTCTGAGCAACCAGTTAAGACCGTGCAATGTTCATATTCATTTGAATAAAGTAACGCTCGGTCAAAAGAGTCATTAAAGGTCATTAATTACCAAGATTCTCGCTCAACATTCATAGATAAGATTCTTAGCATAAATATACATAATTAGTTACAATTTAAGAAATATAGTAAATACTTGTATGAAAACCTAGAAAGGGCATCCCATCAATACACAAATAGTAATTTTGGCATTTCTTTATAATTTTTTGAGTTCATCTCTATCACTAGGCAAACAACTAAACAACATGAATTTGATTAAAATATAATTAAATTCAATATTTCCAGCATTTTTTGCTTGATAAAAGATTTGTTTTGGAAGGGATGATGGAATTTAAAAGAGTAAAAATATTCAGTGAAGTATGAATTCGAACCCATATGGAGTCAAATGAAAATTAAAATTAATTACAAAATAGAACCGTTTCTTCGTTCCAAATCTATAAATTCAGAAAATCAATCAAATTTTATCTTGCTCTTTTAAGTTAGGAGAATGTAAAATTAAAATAAAAAAAAAAAACCAATAAAGTGTTAATTGAGGTAGAAAGTAATCTCAATTCCATAAAAGTGAGAATACAAGTTCAATCCCAGGACGCAAACCTTGCTAAAAGGACCAAAAACTTTTAGTCTGTAGGGTTGGAAGAGGATTACACGTCCTGATTATATATATATAGATATATATATTCTTAATTTGTAATCTTAATTTTATCACCTCATATTAATAGCTTAACATAACATATTTAAGAATTAATCTCACCGATCAAAATTCAATATTTGGATTGGATCATAAATGAAAAGATTTTACTATCAAGGTTCAGTATTTGAAATTATTGAAGTGAACTTAATAAAACATAAGGAAGCTAATCGTTATAAGAGCTCTTGAAAAATGAAAAAAAAAAATTGTATATCTTACATCACGAAATTTTATCAAAACTTTAACATTTTTCATCTTTTTTTTCTTTATTTTATTTCCTCTAATGTTTATTACTTTTTGGAAGAAAAAGAAAATTATAAATTTTTTTGAGATTTTTTTTTTAAATTGTGTAAAATGACAAGCTGTGTGTTAATTGGGATTTTTTTTTTTTTTTTTAAAAGTTTACAATTTTCAACAGATTTTAGACTTTCTTTATTTGCTTTGATAACTTCTTTTAGTTTATTATTTGACCCCTCTGCCAATTTTCTAGATACATTCCCTATGAGACTTGTTCCCCTAATAGGAATTGGCATTTCATCTATATCCCAGGAAGTGAAGTTTATTCTTTTCAAGTTATTTCTTCGTACGTCTTTTGTTTATATAACTTTAAAATGTTAATGCCTTTTCCTGTAGTTCAAATTGCTGTATGACCATTCTGGGGATTATTGGCAATTTAGTTCCACTGATGGATTCATTCATTATTAGCATTAATGACAGGTGCTGTAGTTCGTGCTTTTGATTCCATGATACTTTTAACTTTTGTAGGTCGAGGTGGTGATAAATTAAGTCTCATAAAGCTTGCTACTTCGACTGAAAAGTCTCTGCCAATCTCGGAAACATGTTGATAGATCAGATTGGATGGCCACATTAATCAATAGGCAACTTAAATTTCGCTTCCTCACACTTGTCAAAAGAACTCTTACGAGTTCAAAGACATAATAGCATTTCAGTTAGTTTTGAAAACTGAAAATCAAAAATCATAATCAAACCGAACCAAAACTGAATCTCTATACGGCTAGAACCGGGTATTGCTCACCCTTCTCCGCCTAATCGACATATATCAATCACTCTGTAAGGGGCTGTAATTCTCATGCTAAAGAAATGCCATTGATAAACTTAGTAGCAATACTAGATCAGGTCAGTTAAAGGACATTGCTGACAATTAGAAATTTCACTTGTTTTACCGTTTCAACTGTAACCTTGAATTGTCGTCCGCTCCAAACCCCTCCTATATGCGTGAAACAACTCAAACCAATGTTCAATCTCAATCCTTTATCCACGTATAAACATAGGGTAGGTAGGTGAAGTCTTGTTAGACTCGCAATGTGTCAACTGTCAACAAATTGTATAGAAAAGAGCAACTACAGAAGCAGCAACCACACAAAATTATACAAGGTGACTGAAAATTAGACAAGGAACCGACTCCAAAACTTTGTTATCCATCCGGTCGAACTGGGAGATGTAAGCTCCACCTTTCTGGATTTCCAGCCTTGGCCTAATATGAACATCCCCCAGTAGCCAAAAAAAAAAAAAAAAAAAAAAAAAAATAAAACCTCTCCGCCTCAGAAAAAAAAAAAAAAAAAAAAAAGAATTAACTCTCCGCTCAGTTAGCTAGCTTACACCTAGGACTTTGGAAATTAACCCTACAATTTGTAGTTTTAATGGCAACATTCACAAACATTTCCATAATATAACTACAAACACACCGTGTGAATGTGCCAGATCATTTGGAGAAGTTAAATACATAACATTGTGAGATTAGGAACAATGGATGAACCTCGTGTTTCAGCAGCTGTGAACAGATCATATCACTCTACAACATAATTGGGAGCCACTGCTAATATTCTGTCATCTCGAGATGATGATTGCCTTGCACCTTCGCCGTCTGCTTCTGGCTGCCTGCCATCATCTACCACTATCAAGTAGCCTTCTCTGCGAATCAAACTCTGCAATACAAGCATTTATCACTCGAAACATAGCATTTGAAACTCTTGAAAGGAATTAAGATTATTCTAGTTTTACCTCTATAATAGCTTTGATTTTCGTGGCTTCATTCTTTGCTTCCTCTACGGAACTGTAGCTATTTTTCTCATTCTGTTGTTCCACATACCATCTGATCAACTCCCCTTGCCTCATTCCAGCCAGCCCAGTCCCTGAAAAATTATAATTTCCCAAAAAATGCGTCAAGACAACAAGTTTAGGGGGACAAATTATGACTTATAACAGAGTAGTTTCAATCTCTGCACAGAGCATCTGTATATAGGGTATGATGTATATCATTACTATATTAACAATATTACTGCTGCAAATAACTGAAGTTAGATGGATATAAAACTCTGGAATAACTAGTGATAATTATGCATACAAAAAATAAATCATATCTATAATCCAAATAAATAGGATTAATTCTTGTAGTTTACCATCTCGTGTTACAGCTTCTTCATGCTGTCTAAGACGCAAGACCAGGGCTTGTGTAATCCTCTGAAAGTATTCTTCACTTATCACAAGTTTTTTACCCTGTTGACTTGCCAAACCATCTCTACCTGCTGAAAAATCAACCCAGTTTAAGTGAAAAATGGTCAAGGAAGTAAATAAAAAACAAAATAGGTTCTAAGAATTCCACCTGTACTTCCAGAAGCTGGCCCAGCTTCAGTATTACTTGGTTGAGCAACGCCTTGATCAGCGTCACCATTTCCATCATTGCCACCATCACTATCATCACGATTTCCTTCTTGAAACTCAGATAAATCAATCTCACTGGACTCTACACTGCACAGGAAAACAACAATCACATTAGAACTATTCAAAGTTATGGGGATACTTGCATACATGCAATTATAAATTTTTGTAAATATGGATGGATCAAATTTTCTTGCCTGATGATGGATGTTTTCAGCAATCTCACTGCTAAACGAACATGACGTGGTTGAACCTGTGAAAAAGTGCTCTCTTTAGCCTCAAGTGAATATATGTGATGATCTTAAGTTGCTGGCACATAGTTTGACAAATTAAAAGAACCTGATTTTCCAAATGACTTCGAGCAATGGCTTCAGACAGTCTGATCAATGCCTCCAGCTGTCTAACCGTCATGCGATAAGCAACTCTACTACCAGGAGTTGTGTCACCTTTCCGCAGAGCAACATAAGATTGCACCAAAAGTTTTCTTGCTTCGGAATTGAGCTGCATTCATATTTAGTTTGGTTAAAATGAGAAAAGTTAAGTTGGAGGCCTTAAAATGAGACAAGGAACAACAGAAACTTTGTTTCCTGCTCAAAATGTTACAACTTTAACATGAGAAGATCAAGAAGCAAACCTTTGGCTTCAGAGTTTTTGCATATGCAATGTAACGCTTCAGTTGAGCAGTTGTGAATGCAGGAGCAAGTGCATCTTCATGTTTCTGATGAACTCTCACAATGTGATGAGCAATGTGATAATCAACCTGGTCATCTGGGTCATCAATCATCACATAAACTAGATCGAATCTTGAAAGAATTGCAGGAGGAAGAGCCACATTATACTGGGAAAAAAAATATCAAAGTGATTAGCCCAAATAAAAGTAAAGAAACATAAAAGACAAGGAAATTTATTATAAAATAACCACAATGAGGGCAGTATGCTAGTCTTTAGTTAACTAGTCAAAAGGCATTAAATCAGGTAAAAGAACATTCTCACCTTAAGTGGTTTAGACTTATCATAGCGTCCTCCTGCAGGATTAGCTGCAGCTAAGATTGATGTTCGAGCATTAAGTGTTGCCTGAATTCCTGCTTTTGTGATGCTTATTGTCTGCTGTTCCATGGCTTCATGAATTGCAACCTTCACATCCATTAATATCTATGTCAGAAGTTCATACACATTGTATTAATCAAAGAAGGGACAGATTTTCAGAGTAGTACCTGGTCCTTGATATCCATTTTGTCAAATTCATCAATGCAACAAATGCCATTGTCAGCAAGCATCAGTGCACCAGCCTGTAGATACCAAATAAGAAGAGTCAAGACATTGAGGCAGATAAAGTGAAAGCAGTTGGTCATACCCACTGTAATGGATACAAAATAAGGAATCAAAGAAATAAGATCACGTGGTTGGTCCTCATGTTCTATTCAAAAATTTATTACTTTATATTAAATTTTTTAGTTCAAGCCATAATTAACTTCACTTGCACTTCAATTTTAAACGGGAATTTCAAAACATTAAACAGGTAATAAATTGTGTTCCTTCTTGGTGTATGCTTCATGAATCCAAAATAATCCTCCAGGACCACAACTCCAACATTAACAGATGAATAATAACATAACAAAGCTTGAAAATTGTTTACTTGGGTTGTTTCTTTAAGATTAATAATGAGATCAACAGCATAACCATAGCACTAATGAAAATTCTATGTTTCAATTCTATTTCAAAACTCACAAGAAAATGATATCATATCCAGAGGATGTCATAAAGAGGTGCCATGACCGGTGAAACTCCACAAGGTTCAGTGATTCTAAATGAACAAAACAGCAAGAAACTAAATGCTACCTCAATGCAGAATTCCCCAGTTTCGGGTTCTTTGGCAACTGTTGCAGTTAAACCAGCAGCAGATGAGGACTTCCCAGATGTATAGACAGATCTAGGGACTATACCTGAAGTGTACCTGTGAATGGATGGACCAAGATATAAAATTGAACCGTCATGCATAAACTAAGATTGAAAAATAAAACACAGAAAAGAAAAGTCCAACGTACTTGAGAAACTGAGATTTTGCACAGCTGGGATCTCCAACTATACAAACATTGATGTCACCTCTAAGGTTAATGCCTTCATGAGTGAACTTGTGGACACCGCCCAAGAGCATAAGAAGAATTGCTCGTTTGATATCTTGGTGACCAAAAACAGTTGGAGCAATGCTATCAACCAGCTTGTTGAAGAAATCAGGGGTATTTCTCATTCTTTGAATTTCATCTAGCTCCTCTGCCTGAAATAAATGAAGTGAGCTCTTAATTGCATCTTACCACATATGAACATATGGCCAGCTACTCAATTAGTGCAATAAAACAACATTAATAAATCATACTATTATCCATTAAGTCAGAAATCAATGATATTCTAACATTAACTAAATATGATATGATGACCAAATTACCTATCATCTATAATGCAAATGGAGAATATCACTGAAAATGACAAAACCAGTGCAAAGGAACTTACTATGAACTGCTGGTTGTCATCTTCGTCAACATCCTTCTTTCGATTCCTGATGTCAGTATCCCTCCTTCCATCACTAACCTAAAAAAGAAGCATTAATGAAATACATATAACTATGTAAGACAAATAATCATAGCCCCAGCATCACAGTCGTTATAATAGACCAACCTGCACTGAATTAGCAATAAATGCAAGGCGATATGAGAGGTCTCTCACTCCCAATGCTCGCAGACCCCTCACGCCTTCTTGTCCAACAGTAGAATTCTTACGTTGAGGTGCTTCTCGACGACATTCTGCTCGCTCTCCCGGGGATGCCAAGGCTGATATGTCTGGTATTACAACCACAGTACCTGTGAAAATAACCCTGAAAGCATAGACAAATTTAGGTCACATAATTAAACAAGTCCACTTATAAATCAAAATGGAATAAATGCATAACCAAAAAACCAAATTGATTGGATTATGTGAGAAGAAATTGTCTTACGTATCACCAGCTCTGGCCTGTTCAACAATATCATGGCGAAGAATAACATCCAAAGATCTGGGAAGGGAGCCTGCAGGAATCTCTTTTGAAGTTTCCTGCATTCTGACCCTCTGCCAATCAGCAAATTTGCTATCTTGTCTGAGCAACGCCCATTTTGTTCTGTTATTGCATGTTGCATTTACACATATTGTCGGCTGAAAATTTCAAATTACAGTTGCACGTGTTAGATTAGGCATGAAAAACCATTTTGTGACTGAAGATGCAAGATAACATTTAAGCGGAACTGACCTCAGTATATTTGAACTGCTGCTCAACATTCTTTATGACACCACCACATTCCAAACACCTGAAAGCTCCTTGCAGAAGCTCTGGCCTCACCTCACTTGTGCGAGTCACCACTCCAGTCACAGATACTAGTTTGCCAATTTCTGCTGTAGTTAGCTCTCTCAACCTGAAAATTAAATATCCAATAAGTGCAAATGATTTACAACAGTGTTCAAAAGCTAAATAAAAAAACTCATCTATTGTAGAATGCAAAGAACTTCTATGCGTTGGTTACATTTCTAAGCATGTCAAGCATAGAGAACCAAAATTAAAGATAGAATTACTTAGTAAAGAGAGCATATTAAATATCAAGATACTATGCCAATTTGAAAAACTGGAAAAGAAAAAGAGAAGAAAATAAAAGAAAAGAAAAATCAAATTGTAGCAGAATGAGGGAGCGATGGAATACCGCTTAGAGAAAGGGATATTGAAGAAGGCAACATTAATATCCTTATTAGGATTATCATCAGATATGAATTGAGGCTTAATCTCCATAACGAACCTCTTGCACGCATTCTTCAAGTAAGGTTCAACCCTAAAATTAAAATTAAAGATAAATATTTTACAAATCAGTAAAATTGGGAAAATAGGGTTTTTGAATGGCTGAAATCTGAGATACCTCAAGTACTCATTAGCAACAGCTTTCTGGAGATCATCATCGAAACGCATAACGTGAGAGAAATCAATGAACATGGTAGTGGATTCACTGGCTCTCATGGCTTCAATTTCTGCCTCGTAATAGGCTTCTCCCATATTATTTTGCCCATCTAGTCTAAAGCTGATCCAAATGTCAAATGGAAAAACTTACAACATTAATATTCATTTTTAAATCCATAAACATCAAATTAGAGAGAAACAGAAGTGGAATCGAGACAAAAGAACCTCTTGAGAAAATCCAGGAAAACCTTCTCCACGGCCTCTGCCATAACGTCGGAGAAGTAACCGCCAAACGCGTCCATTTTCGATTTCTTTCCTTCTTTTTCTTCAAAATCAGCTAAGGTTTGGAGGAAATGGAAACTCTAACAGGTGTTTTGGTAGAAGGGAAATAGCCAATTGCGAGGACGATGGACAGAAACTAGCTACTTTGGCTTCTCTTTGTGGCGGGAAATTGAGTAGCAGTTTCCCGCCAATATTGTCTATGATGTCGTGTCGGCCCTGTAGTAACAACCTAGAATGGGCTAATCCCTTATTCTTTTGGGCTTTAGATCCAGGTCAAGATGGGTATGGACTCGGGTCGGGTTTTAGCCATATGTCTAATTTTTTCTCTTTCACAAACGAAAACAAAAAGGTAATGTTAAAAAATAATTGGTGGAATATATAATCTTAACTTATGAAGTTTAACAAAAAGAATCTTAAAATATTGTGTTAGCCAGGACTTTAAAAAATTAATCTTATGGCACCCTAAAATTTATATTTTTTTTAACAATATCACATCTCGTCACACTAGAAATGATAGTTTTTCAACTTTTTCTTTTTTATATACAAAATATTGATTTGATATATACTGCAGCGATCATGCAAGAGAAAACTTAGTAATGTCTATGGGGTATCAAACACATGCTTCCCAATAACCAAAGTTGACCCATAATAGGTCATCCAATTAGCACAAGTGCTGGCTTCTCGATAAACATATGATATATGATATTTGACTATAACATTGGCTTTCCAAACACTCCTTTAACATTTATGGATGGGTTAATTTCACTGGAAGGATCTAAATTATATACTCAATTACTTAATGGAGTATCAACTTCAATTTATATCTTAAAAATACCTAAACTCCTATAGTTGTAACAGTAAAATGCCTTTTAATGCAATTGTCAATTTTCGGTGGCCGGATTGCCACGTATTTAACACGTGGCTTTGTATTTTAAATGAAATTTGTTGTATAAGTTTTCTCTCTCCTCCATGTCATAACCCACCTTTACACATGGGTTTTTTATTTTAAATTAATTTTCTAAACGAATTTTCTCTCTACCACGTGATGGCCTCTTTTTTTTGGTAACAATGATGGCCTCTTTCTTTTTTGGTAACAGAAATGGCCTCCTTTTGCTTTTCATTATTTATTTTAGAAAAACACCTTAATTGCTAATTGAATCTTCCATGGACGACGAAGCACAACCTTCTACTTCAGCTTTCTCTTTTACATCTAAAGGATGGCGAAAGGTTCGTGATTCAACTGACGCGGATCTTCAACTTATATGGCTATAGCCAATTCTTTTAAGAATCTCGCCAACTGATTTGATAGAGAGATCTAGGAATTCATCAACTTCGCATTCACTTCCTTCACGGTAGGTTCGTTTGATAGGGTTAGATGATGGAGAGGCCAGTTAGATTTAGATTCGAAAGAGGAGAGAAGGACAGCTTAAGGAATAATGAGTTTGTGGAGAAATTGATTTCTAGCTTCTATGTTTGGTCCATTGATTGAGTTTTTATTTTCTCCATCAGTTGTTCGCATGTCCCCTTTCCTTTTGCAAGTCAGTTCAGGCATGAGAGGTGTGCGCTGTGTTAAAAATGAAAAGAAATAAAGAGAGAGAAAGTCGTTAAAATGTTGGAGCAAAATTAGCACAATTAGATAAAATGATGACTGAATAAAGGAAATAGAACACAAGAATTAGAGTACTTTGAAGAGAATAAAACAAAAGCTGTGTACAATTAATCTGAAATTGATGTACCCATTTTATAGGCTTACATAGCAACTGAATTCCTAAAAATATGAGCACGACCAACAAATGCCAATTAACAGATTGTGATACTGAAAACTAGGAAATAAGATAATGCTAGTAACAATAAAATAATACCAAGTCAAGCTCAATTTTGAATAACCTCATCAATCCCCCCTTTATTCAAAGTTACAAACACTGAGCTAAGAACTAAAGTAAGCATGCTTGTCAGAGGAGAGGGCCTTCATCAGAATATCAACCACCTATTCATGTGTACTGCAGTATTTGAGATAAATTTCACCATTGGTAACCAGATCACCGGTGAAGTGATGGCGAAGATTTATGTGTTTAGTCATTCAATGAAATGCTGGATTTTTTATCATAGCAATAGTAGCATTGTTGTCACAAAAAATTTCTATCGCAACCTTCTGTTCTTGACCGAAATCAGCAAGTAATCTTCGTAACCATATTGCTTGACATGCGAAGGAGGTGGCAGCAATATATTCTGCCTTTGACGAGGAAAGAGCCGTTGGTTCTTGCATCTTTGAACTCTATGAGACAACCCAAACCTAAGGAAAAAAACATTTCCTGAAGTGCTCCTTCGATCATCCAAACAAACTCCCCAGTCACTATCCGTGTAGCCAAGCAACTAACAATCACATTTTTGAGAGTACCTAATTCCAAACTTCATAGTTCCAGCAATTTACCATAAGATTCTTTTAGCTGCTCCAACGTGATGCTTTGTAGGAGAGTGCATGAACCTGGAAACTATACCAATAGAAAATGCTATATCTAGTCTAGTGCGAGTGAGATAAATAAGACCTCCCACTAAACTTCTATGGCGACTTGTATCTTCTTTCCCAATATCATCTTCAACTTGAAGTTTTTCATTCATATTCATGGGTGTGGTAGTTGCTTTACAATCAGACATGCCAAATTTCTTAGGGAGATCAATAGCAAATTTTCTTTGTGAAATAAAAATGCCAACACTTGTTTGATACACTTCCAACCCAAGAAAATAATGCAATAAACCCAAGTCAGTCATTTCAAAACTCTTCATCATACTCTCTTTGAAATCAGCAATAAGAGATTGACTTGAATCCATGTAAATTATATCATCAACATACAGGCACACAACAATAACTGACCTGGACCTTTCCTCTTCAAGTAGAGCGTTGGGTCATTTTTGCTCTTTTTAAAGCCATTTTGCTAGAAGTAAGTGTTAATTTTACTGTACCAAGCACGTGGGGCTTATTTCAGCCCATAGAGTGCTTTCTTCAGCTGATATACTTTCTCTTCCTTGCCTTTAGTTATGAAACCATTAGGCTGGGAAACATAAACTTCTTCCTCTAACTCCCCATTTAAAAAAGCAGCCTTAGCATCAAATTGATAAACTAGTCAATTAAATTGTGCATCCAAGGCTACAAAAAGTCTTACAGTTTCAAATCGAGCAACCGGAGAAAAGGTCTCCTCAAAATCTATACCTTGTTGCTGTGAATATCCTTTTGCCATGAGTCTTGCCTTGTGCTTTTGAATGCTACCATCAACATGATACTTGGTCTTAAAGATCCATTTGAGACCAATAGCATGTTTTCTATCCGGCAAGTCTACTAACTCCCATGTTTCATTCTTTTCAATAGCTACTAACTCACTCTTCATTGCCTTGCACCATTCCTCTTGCTTATTTGCCTCTTCAAAACTGGTTGGTTTAGCTACAAATAAGGCATTGGTGGAGTCCTAGATCTCTTAAAGTGATCTGAATTTTCTTGATGGTGTACTTTCAGTAGAGGAATCACTCAATGATGATTTACTTCCATTTAGAGAAGAAGACAAGGTGCTGCCAGTTTGTGGTGTTGATGGAGTAGAATTTGTAGGTGATGCACCAATTGCTTCGATGATTGGATCTTCAGCATCAAATGAATTACAACTGCTGAATCTTCAGTATTTTCATCCCAATTCTAGCTTGAACTTTCGTCAAACACTACATTCTTGCTTACAATTATCTTGCCACTTAAAGGGTTATATAGCCTATATGCTTTGGATTGTAAAGAATAACCAACAAAAATGCATTTTACAGATTTGATGTCCAATTTTTGTCGATTTTGTAAATCAACTAAAGCATAGGGTATACACCCAAAGACTTTTAAATGGCTTACTCGTGGCTCCATACCTGTCTAAGCTCATACGGAGTAAGATTCTGAATAGCTCTTGTAGGTGAAATATTAAGCAAATACACTGCCGTTGTGACTGCTTCAGCCCAAAAGATTTTTGGTAGTCCCTTTGCTTGTAGCAAGCTTCTAGCCATTTCAACAATGGTGCGATTCTTCCACTTAGCAACACCGTTTTGCTCAGGTGTATAAGGGGCTGTCAAATTCCTACGGATACCATTTTCAGTGCTAGTAGTAATTGCAATAGTGCCTTTGCCTTTGGCTTAAAGTAGCTTGTTGTTTCCTAGTCGAACTCTTATGGTGTGGAACTCATCAAGCTCTTTAACTATAGATTTTACCCCTGTCATATGGATTGAACATCCACTGTCTAGGTACCAGACTTCACTTGCAATCGGCACAGTATGTCCATCATCAAAAACCATGAACAAGGTCTCTTCCTCTTTCTCCTCCATAGCATAACTTGCTTGTTTGTCTTGCTTTTGTAGTAATTTCCAGCATTCTGCCTTCACATGCCCAAACTTTTTGCAGTAGTTGCATTAAATATTGCTTTTGTTATGCTTAAGTTCATTGGAGATTACCCTTTATCAGCTTGCCCATAGGATCTGCTACCTCCCCTTCCTCTACTACGGCCTCTACTATGATAACCTCCTCTATTTGTTGCTTTTCCAAAACCAGTATTGTGAGAAGTTGCTTCACCCTTCACTTGAAGTGCCTTTTCCTCACCTCTTTCAAGTAACCTACTAAGTTTAGCTTCATATGCTTGCAAAGAACCTTTTAGTTCATCAAAAGGAAAAATAGAAAGTTCTTCTGACTCTTCAATGGCAGTAGTAACATGATCATATTTAGGAGTTAAACTCCTCAAAACTTTTTGAACAACAAGTTGATCAGGAAGATTCTCACCATATGATCTCATGTGACTTACAACTTCTATCACTCATCAGGAAGATTCTCACCATATGATCTCATGTGACTTACAACTTCTATCACTCTTGATAGAAAATCATGCATAGACTTATTATTTTTGATAAACAGAGTTTCAAAATTATGGCAAAAGGCCTGAAGTTTCACTATAATTACCTTTGATGAGCCTAGATACTCTTCCTTCAATGCATACCATGCTGCCTTTGAAGTGGTGATAGTTACAATCCTTGCAAAAATTGAGTCATGGACTGTTTGTTGGATAAGAACAATGCCTTTGAGTCCTTCCGGTTCTCTCTTAATCTGTTTTTGTCTTCTGGGTCAGCATACCCATTTTTCACAAGATCCTAAAGATCTTAAGACTTGAACAAAGTCATCATCTTAATGCTCCGGAATTCATAACAATCCCCTTTGAAGATAGGAATGAGGGGATGAGACACATTCACAAAATTTCAATTTAAAGCCATGGAAACTTCTCACAGAACTTTTGTCGAACACTTGGTGGGTAGCAAAACCTGCAGCTCTGATACCAATTTGTTGAAGCAAAATTAGCACAATAAGATAAAATGATGACTGAACAGAACCAAAAAAAAAAAAAAAAAAACAGAACCACAAGAACTAGAGTAATTTGAAAGAAGAATAAAACAAAAGCTGTGGTAGCAATTAAATTGAAAATTGAGTATGCCCATCTTTATAGGCTTACATAGGCACTGAATTCCCTAAAAAAATGTGAACACGACAACATTAAATGCCACAAGCTGTGTACAATTAATCTGAAATTGATATGCCCATTTTATAGGCTTACATAGCAACTGAATTCCTAAAAATGTGAACACGACAAATAAATGCCAACTAACAGATTGTGATACTGAAAACTAGGAAATAAGATAATGCTAGTAACAATAAAATAATACCAAGTCAAGCTCAATTTTGAATAACCTCATCATAAAAACAAAAAGGAAGAGAAATAGAGAGAGATCTGCGTTAAAAAAGGACACCAACACCTGAGAGAGAGAAAAAAGGGAAAAGGGTAAACGTGCGCTGTGACACGGAGGAGAGAGAGAATTTATAAAAGAAATTGCATTTAAAATAAAAAGCCATGTGTTAAATATGTGCCAATCCGACGATCAAAAATTGACAATTGCGTCAAAAGGCATTTTACTGTTGAAATGTGGGAGTTTAAGTATTTTTAAGATACAAATTGAAATTGGTATCCTATTAAGTGATTGAGTATATAATTCAGGCCTTTCCAATGAAATTAAACCCTTATGGATGAGAATGAGGATATTTATATTGAAGATGGATTGCAAGAAGATGATTGTGGAGATTTTAGAAGTGATGATGATCAATATCAGATTGTTGATCTACATGATGAAAGGGAAAATGATTATCTTGATTTGGATCATGATGATTGATGCATTTTGAGTAGTTTTTTATGTTAGTTAATATGAAGTAGGAGGGAACATTATATGATTCAAATGCATGTCTTTTTATGCATTTTCTTTATATTTTATTTAGGTATTCTAAATTATTAAATGTAAGTGATTTTAGATTTTATAAGTAGCATTTTTTTTTGTCAATTTTGAAGTTCTTTTTTTTTAATTTCTTTTCGCTCTTTTCTTTGATCAGGCATGCGCTTTTGCATTGCGTCGTGCGCCTAGGCTCTAGAGACTTTTGCACTTTGCGCCTTTTATTATTATGTTTGTGATACTTTGAACTTTAAAATCAACCTTGTAGCACCCTGAATCTACTTTCTGTGATACCTTGTACCTCCTAGCACTAAAAATAAAGATTTTTAAAGTTATTGGTTTTATATGCAAAGTATTTGATTTGATATATGGTCAATACAACTTTTGGTACAATAAATTATATATAAAGTATTTGGATTTGGATAATATGGTCAATACAATTTTGGGTACAATAAATTAATATATATTATATAATATATAATAGATATATATAATATATACTATATATATATAATATATATAATATATTAAGTACCTAATTGATTTAATCTTATAAGTTGAGGTGCTCAATCGGTCAAATAAAGTTTTTGACATATCCAATTTTATAAGTTTAAATGTTTAATAGAAATAAAAATTGATACTGCCATAAGATTTTTCCTTAAAAGTATAGGAGTGAATTTGTGCATTAAGCCTCAAATCTGATCATTTTATTACGAGCAACATAAACCTATATCCATTTTCTCTTATATGATTCTACATCTTACTATATTAATCACAATCATCAGTACTGGTTTGGACATCAATCACAATCATCTTACTACATCTTACTGATGGTTGTCGATTCCACCGAAAATTAATTACTAAATTTTAATTGTAGAAGTGGTGAATTCAGGTCGAACCCTGGAGACTGAAATCTTAAATTTTGTGATATTTTGTAAAGAGAAAAAGGGGGGTTGGCTTTTGAAAATTCACTTAAAGAAATCAAAATAAAACTGACTATTAAACTCAAAAAAGAAAGGGGGGGGTTTTTGGCTTTTGAAAATTCACTTCAAGGGAAATCAAAAATTGGCTTTTGAAAATTCACTTAAAGAAATCAAAATAAAACTGACTATTAAACTTAAATTGAAACTCAATCTAATAAACATTCAATTCAAGGCAATTTATAATCCAATGTATGAATGATCACAGACAAATTTTGAATGAATTACTCTTTGAATACTTAACTAAAACTTACCAATAAGCGTGATAAATTCCCTGACTTCCCTATTACAGTTAATTTGAGCCCAGCACCCTTATTAACTCTAATTATTAAATGAGCAGATATTAAACAATCCTTTTCAATCTAATAAAAGCATTAAGGACAGAAAGTAGTTAAATTTGAACAATAATTTAAAAAGCATAAATTATTTAATTCAATCCTATTGTTTCTTTAGATTATTACCGAAAACTTGAAACATAATCAGTAAAACCTAATTGCTACTAACACTCAATCTTTCACAACAATTACAGATTATGAAGATGAAATTACAGATTCATGAAGGGATGAAATA